CACTGAACGAACTTTAGCTTTATTATCTTTACAATTAGCTTTATTAAACTAAGTACATCAGCCGTATAACTCAAAGCACGCTTGTTTTATTACATAAACACATTAGCTACATTACATAAAAACAGTAGCTATATTAAACAAAGGGAATTAGCTTTAGTACATAAAGAACATTAATAATATTACATAGAGAATATTAGATATATTACATAAAGAACATTAGCTATATTACACAAAGAGCATTCACTTGATTACATAAGGGAATTAGCTATATTACATCAAGCACATAAGCTTTGAAGAACATTAGCTATATTACATAAAGAACATTAGCTATATTACATAAAGGGAATTAGCTTTATTACAAAAATAAATTAGCTATATTACATAAAGAACATTAGCTATATTACATAATGGATAGCTTTATTATAAAATAAATTAGCTATATTACATAAAGCACATTGAATTTATTTCAGAAAAAGAATTAGCTATCTATATATATATTTGAGACTGTCGTTTGTCTGTCTGTCTGTCTGTCTGTTCGGGGTTGGCGGCTACACTAGGTCTGCCCCGAGTCTGAAATTTGGGGTATAGGGGAAGCTCGAACCGGGAAGTAACATAGGCCAGGTGGCGTTAGTCTACCACTTCCGGTTTCGGAGTTATGACCCCCGAGCGAATTCGGTCTGTTCGGGGTTGGCGGCTACACTAGGTCTGCCCCGAGTCTGAAATTTGAGGTATAGGGGTAGCTCGGACCGGGGAGTAACATAGGCCAGGTGGCGTTAGTCTACCACTTCCGGTTCCGGAGATATGACCCCCGAGCGAAGTCTGTCTGTTCGGGGTTGGCGGCTACATCTGCCCCGAGTCTGAAATTTGGGGTATAGGGGTAGCTCGGGCCGGGGAGTAACACAGGCCAGGTGGCGTTAGTCTACCACTTCCGGTTTCGGAGTTATGACCCCCGAGCGAAGCCGGTCTGTTCGGGGTTGGCGGCTACACCAGGTCTGTCCCGAGTCTGAAATTTGGGGTATAGGGGTAGCTCGGACCGGGGAGTAACATAGGCCAGGTGGTGTTAGTCTACCACTTCCGGTTTCGGAGTTATGACCCCTGAGCGAAGTCTGTCTGTTCGGGGTTGGCGGCTACACCAGGTCTGCCCCGAGTCTGGAATTTGGGGTATAGGGGTAGCTCGGACCGGGGAGTAACATAGGCCAGGTGGCGTTAGTCTACCACTTCCGGTTTCGGAGTTATGACCCCCGAGCGAAGCCGGTCTGTTCGTGGTTGGCGGCTACACTAGGTCTGCCCCGAGTCTGAAATTTGGGGTATAGGGGTAGCACGGACCGGGCAATCTGTTTCACAGAGAATTACGAGTCTCGTATAATATCTCTGTCATAGATGACTGCCTTAACACGTGCTGTCACAGCACGCGGTGTGAATCATTGGCTGAATGGCGCGTGCATTTTTTACATAAGACATAACTGCTTCGGAGAGAATGCTGCATTTTAGTCATTTTAATACCCATTTAAACTAAATCGGAAATAATTTTTAACTACAAATACGTCAAACGCCTTTATTTATTTTTCCAATATATACAAAAAATGTTTTAGAATTTAATTTGTCGCAGGAAAAAAGTTAATATTTCTAGTTCATTAAGCCGCATCAATGTCATCCTTATCAGTGATTGTCGCGGCCAAGCAAATATTCACTGCGGATCAGTGTGCGGAACGGGGAGTAACATAGGCCAGGTGGCGTTAGTCTACCACTTCCGGTTTCGGAGTTATGACCCCCGAGCGAAGCCGGGTATCCTGCTAGGTTTAAAAGATTTGGGGATATTTTTTCAATTGATTTTGATAAAATAATCATATTTCTTTTGAGCGTTTTACGTATATTAAGGACATTATATCTATCTATATATATTTGTGACTGTCGTTTGTCTGTCCGTCTCTCTGTTCGGGGTTGGCGGCTACACTAGGTCTGCCCCGAGTCTGAAATTTGGGGTATAGGGGTAGCTCGGACCGGGGAGTAACATAGGCCAGGTGGCGTTAGTATACCACTTCCGGTTTCGGAGTTATGACCCCCGAGCGAAGCCGGGTATCCTGCTAGTATTACATAAAACACATTGGCTATATTACACAATGCACATTGGCTATTATTACATGAGGTACATTACCGTTATTGCATAACGAACGCGAGTTTTACTGCATAAAGGACACCAGCTTTATTACAAAAAGAACATTAGCTATTATTACATTGACTTTATTGCATCAGTGAATTAGCAATATTACATAAAACACATTAGCTATATTACATAAACAACATTGACTTTATTACATAAAGCACATCAACTTTATTACAATAAGAACATTAGCTATAATTACATAAAGCTCATTCGCTATATTACATGATATTACATGTACATGTTATTTTGTTTATAAAATTATTTTTGTATATCCTTTATTCTTTATTATTGATTAGTCTATTATACATTGAATGTTATTGCATGACTCCCACGCACTGTATATATATATATTTCAGTACCCATAATAAACGTCAGATTTAATAACAATTAGTATTGTCTCCTACTTTCAAGACGATGACGGCTCCACGTATAAATACATGTCAGAAGACAAACCCAAGGACACGACACACAATATACAGACATTGTCAGTAATAAACAGTATTTCTAGCCTTGTTTTTCGAGTCCCGTGTTACAAATGGCGCTGAAACGCATTATGGTACACGATTCTTGTACCAATGCTACATTTTTTTTTCAAATATTGGATATCCGAAGCCCATCTTTTCCCGGTAAGATCACATCATCAATGTTGATTTAAATTGAAAAATAATTCGTGTTATCAGTGTCGAAGAGTTTGGATGATATTGAGTTAGGGACTTAGCCACTTTAAACTGAATAGAGACAGTCCCAATAAAATCAGTATCTATTGAAACCGAATAGACACATACCCAATAAAATCAGTATCTATTGAAACCGAATAGATGCAGACCCATTATAATCAATATTTACTGAAACCGAATACAATATTGATAATTATGAAAGGGGCAGTTTTTACTTGGCCACTACGAGTCACCATAACAGTTAACCAGCAACTACAGTCAACCAATAGACTGAAGTCATACATTTTAACTTTAAACTTTAACCCTGATATCGGGCTTCGGGGGGTGTGAATTCAAAGTTTGGCCTGGTTTTAACTACACTTTACCAATATTTAAAAAGACTGTGAGGTTGTAGGCACTGAAGATAAGTATCATCATTATATTGTACGTATGTTTACTCTATAAAAACACTTTTACAGCTTTATAAAGCTGACCTAATTTGTGAAGTTGGATGTCTTATACGGGTGCCCGCGAACTCTATGGAAACTGGTGTAGGTCATAATGCTTACGACAAAAATGAAATGAAATGGAGTTTAATGTCCTACTGTTCTGCTCCTAACCTGGGCTAATGAAGACGGGCATACGTCATACAGTGTGCTATGAGGGAAATTTTGCCCGGGCAGCAGCGCTACGGCCTACTCTTATATCGAATTCCAACTGCCAAGGGATCTTTTACGTGCACTCCAATGTGTACACGGGACCTCGGTTTTTCGTCCCATCCGAACGACTAGACAGCTGTCCTTGGCAGGCCCTCCATCCTGCATCACTGACAAGGGGAAACCACGCCGGAAAATCTGAATAAATTTTCTCGGCCAATGCAGGGATCGAACACCCGACCTCCAGGCTAGCGAGCCAGCGTCTTACCCACTTAGCCACGTGATCCCCCAAAATGCTTACGACACATACGAAACCTTAAAAAATATTAGTATATATCTCAGTGTTTAACACCCAAATCTTCGGAATACTGGGTGTAATGAAGGATATTTATTATGGAAATTAATTTTCGGAATAGTACACCATATGCTCGGTGCAATGAAGGACATTTATTATATGTCTTAACTATGGAAATAAAATGGTGTTTAACGCCCTAATTTTCTGGATCAACCTGGCCAAGGAAGGTGGCATACGCCATGTAGTGTTCAATGAAGGATATCTTGCCCGAATTGTGGCATTTCCACCATTTCCAACTGCCAAATAAAAGTAGGTTACGGAAGACTATTGGGGTCAATCAAATAAAACAATATATATATATTCTGTTCATCTCGTAATTACGACATACGTTGAAGACCATTAGGGTCAACCAAATGCTGATTATCACGTAACGACGACATAAAATTATAGCGTCACCATACAAGAACAACACGCTGATTTACTGTGTATATTGGCCAACATGCATATAGAATGTGACTAGTTGTACAATCGGCGCATTCATTTCATGCTCTCATTAATATCATTCATTAATTTCATGTTTCCATTATTAAAAAGGCATTATGTATATGTAAGAGGTCCTTTTTGGGACATAAAATGTTATATAGATTATTAATTTGACATTTATTAAAATGACAAAACCATAATCATCTCCCGATGCCATCGGATGTCTGCGATTTTAAGTAGATTAGAACTGTTCGGCAATTTAATAATTTAATTTAAAGATGGATAAGCAAGGCTAAGACCCATATGACCAGTACGGTAGTTGCACACATCTTGTCAAAATAAAATAATATCTTGTGATAATAAGAATATTTTTTGTTCCATTTGATTGACCCCAATGGTCTTCCGTAGTAGGTCGTATATCTCCGCCGACTGGGAAAATTTCCCCCGTAATACAAGGCATGGCGAATTTCCATCTACATTCGCCCGGTTGTGATGCAGAAAGGTAGGATGATAAACCTTATATTCCATTTCCTGTCCAAATATCCAGGTAAAATATTGATTATTGTACGTACAGATCAACTTGATACATCAACATTATTAAGATAACGGACCAAAATGCTGATGAGGGAAAACCAATTGTAATTAAGGATAAGTCCGGAAATGAATTGACACCATATGAACTAGACGGGATACCTCTACCAATATTCCCAGAATCATTTACAGGCAACTCAACTCCAGCCCATTTGTAGAAGCTCAGAGAAATGATCATAAAAGATGATGATGTTATTATATGCGCTTATCCAAAAGCCGGTAAGTTCGTTCTTAACTTTCTTTAGTTAATTGTAGTAGGCCATTTAACTTCATTGAATTTCATTTCAATAAATTTGTCGATCGCCAAAGTATTTTGTACGCTTGACCCAATGCCGTACATAAAGTATCTGATGATATAAAAAGCAGAATTTCCAATAGGAATTTAACTCATAAAATGGTCCAGTTCCATTCATCAGTATTTACAAAACTGATGAATTCAAAATTTGTCAACATTCAGTTTCCACTGTGATTTCTTTATGATTGAGCTCGGCGTGATTTTGGGGACTTCTGACTTGATAATCACTCAATCATCTTTTAGAGACATTTAGTAACTGGATAGAGCAATAAACTATCACACATACTTATAGAAGAACAATTACTTATTTATTTATTTTATTCTCTCAACGTTTTCAAGCTTATTTAGGCGCTTGAAAACGTTGATAGAATACTCTCCGAAACGTCACCTAAATAAATCAGTAATTGTTCTTCCATAAGAATATGTTGTATTTTATCACTCAATCAGATTGTGGGTTATTAGTGATATTACGGTAAATCCACATGATTAAGGATCGCGTTCTGATTTTACGGTAGATCCCCGTGATTGTGGACTACTACTGATTTTAAGGTAGATCCCCGTGATTGTGGATTACTACTGATTTTATGGTAGTTTCACATTGTTGTGGGTTTCTTTTCAGTTTACGGTATTTCCACATGGTCGTGGGTTATTTATCATTTTACGGTATTTTCACATGGTCGTGGGTTATTTGTCAGTTTACGGTATTTCCACATGGTCGTTGGTTATTTATCAGTAACGGTATTTTCAAATGGTCGTGGGTTATTAATCAGTTTAAGGTAGATCATCATGATTGCGGGTTACTTGTCCTCGATTGTGGGTTACTTGTCAGTTTAATAGGGGACATACCATTTGTATAATATAAGTCACATAATTATTTTATAGAGGACCCACCAATATTATTGTACTATTACCTTCAGGTACTCATTGGATCTGGGAAGTGGTTCAGATGTTGAGAGGTCAAACGACCGAATATCACAAAGATATTAAGGAGAAACAAATGATAGAAGCTGCTAAAATCGAGGGTATAGATTCTGAACCATCACCACGAGTTCTCAATTCCCATTTATGGCCGCGACATTTACCTAAACAAATGTTTGAAAAGAAAACCAAAATAATTTTTGTCAATCGTAATCCTAAAGACATATTGATATCTTTGTTCTGGCATTACACCGGAGCAGAAAAAGAGAAATTGGTTACCTTGGCAACTTAAGTGATTTTATTGACCTCTTCCTAAATAAATGATGTAAGTACTAGAAGAATTAATTTTATTTGTTTGTATGTATGATTCCAACTGAATACAAAATGCCCGGATTCAAACTAATCCCCTCCCCATCGTGTAAATCTGACTGAAGCTCATGTTTGCCTTATCACCCTGAACGTGTACCAAACCTGGTTAAAGCATGAAATTAAATTATCCCCAACTCCACCGTGTACTAAACCTGATTGAAACTTGGACTTAATTAATTAATTTATATTAACCTCACGAAATACTTAACCTGATGAATTTACGGCCGTGTAAAAAGTGTAGTTTAATGGTTCAGTGCGAGACATTAAGTAATGTATTGATATTGCACGAGTGCGTTAACACGAGGGCTATATCTATATATTACGGGGGTGGGGGTGGGGGGCACCAATTGAATTCCAGCTGTCAAAGGTGTGCACCGGGCTGCGGTTTTACTAGAGAAGTTGCACGAGCGACCAATACGAGAACGAAAACGAATACTTCATCAGTTTGTCTGCTGACACACTCATTTGACAACGCGCACTACGCGAGATAATCGTAAGTGCAACCCGAAATCGGTTTCCTTCTATTTTCTCACATTTTCTGCCCTCAAATCACCTCGATAATGCGTTATTTCTAATCTAGAGTATACTCTCTTCCATTTTGTTAACTTTACTGTGTTTACTGTGTTTTTGTTGACAGAAAAATCGATTTACTGTGTTTAAATCTGAAAAGAATTTTTTTCTATTTTTTTTTTCTTTTTTTTTTTTTTTTTTTTTGCTCTGGGCCCGGAGTCCGAAAGTGGCCTATTTTACGCAAATGGATTTCTTCGGCACGATTACGATTCGTAATCGTATCGATGCGCGACCTGTCTACTGGCGAACCATCCAAACGACTAGACGCTGTCCCTCCTTTTCAATTCGTTATAAACATATAATATACATTATTACATATAATATACATTATTACATATAATATACATTATTACATATAATATACATAATATACATTATTACATATAATATACATTATTACATATAATATACATTATTACATATAATATGTAATTTTTAAAAACAAATGGTTTCAGTACTTTATGGACTATGGTATGAATATACCCTAGAATGGGAAAGGTTCCTTAAAACAACTGAAAATCCAGTTTACGAACTGTCTTATGAGGACATGCAACAGGTATGTTTTTGTTCTTATGGTTTAACGTCCGCTTTCACCTAGGGTGCGGGGGCGGATCCAGGAATTTTTGCAGGAGGGGGTTTGCCAGGTTCCTCAGAAAATGTATCCCCACCCTCCTCGGCGTGAAATTTTTTTGAGAAATACATGGTCTCTTTCGTCATTTTAGTGTATATATACATACACATTGAGCTTTTTAAACAGAGAAATCCAACATCCTGTTTGACGTCAATTTTTATTATGAATTTCAATTTTATTGATGCAAAGCATTAATTGTGATATCACATATGTCTATATCATTATCTCGCGCTTTGAGTGCCCATCCTGTCGCATCATCTGACGATAAAGGATAAAGGACAATTATGACACTTTTCTCATAAAAAATGTTATTTTACAAAAGAAATTATGTAGCTGAGCAGAGGGGGGGGGGTTACCCCCATTCCACCCCACCCCCTCTGTATCCGCCCCTGGGGTGATATCACAGACAATTCTTATTGTATTATATTTAGCGCGTGCGTAAGGTTCTTTCCTGTGGAAGGAAACCGGAGTACCTGGGGTTAGCCCACGAGGTTGAGAAGGGAACCTTACATCTAAGCCCTATACGCTCACATCGGAAATCGAAACCTAAGCCAGCGGTGACTGGCTAGCTGAAGATCGAATATCAACTGTTGAATAATATCCGTTCAATAATATCGTTTGAACTGTTGATTAATACGGTATGAGCTGCTGAATAATATCACTTATAAATAATATTAGCTGTTGAATGATATCAATTGCTGAATAATATCATATTAACTATTGAATAATATATCAACTATTGTATATTGTTGAAAAATAGTATCCCCGAAACCAACACAAACATTAGCCTATGTTGCATTTTCTTCAGAATCCGCTACATCATGTGAAAGAGCTGGCTAAATTTCTTGGAAAAGATGTCACTGATGAATTAGGTAGGGTTATAGTAGATGCCTGCTCCTTTGATAAACTTAAGAAAGCCAATGACGAAGTGAAAGATGACTTTCTTAAACCTTTGTTCAAGGAAGGACAGTCAATGTTTAGAAAAGGTAGGAGTAGATTATTGTCTCCTTAAAGGACAATATTATCAGATATGTGATAGAACTGGTTAAACACGTTCCAAATATAATTTTAACACAGGGATGATCATTGGTACGATAGATGCGTAGTGACGATTTGAATAAACGGAAGTGATGAAAGCAAAAAGAAAACATGAGTTATCCTTCTATGTAACTGACTAAAGTAACGAGCAATAACAGATACACGGGCTCACTAATAAAGACCAAAAGTTGTTATATGAGACTGTGAGAGGATATCTGGCAATTTATAAAAGGAATTGGCTGTCACTAGATGAGAGAAAACGACGAAAATAGAAAAAATCCGCGCATTACCATTTTTTTATTAAACATACATTCTCCCGTCAAAAGGCAACACCTCATAACTCATGTTTTTCTTATTTTGAGAAAACAAAAGAAAACGAAATGCATGAATATTAAACCCCAGCTTATCCATTGATTTGACTATTGAGTTACTAGGTTTTTCTGTGGCCTACTAGGCAAATGAAGGAAGTTGCTAGGTTGTGTCATGGCTGTAACTGCTTACAAAATCAAAAGATCGGAATATCTAGTACAACAACAGGAAGCACATACCCTAGTAACGACAAATTTGGTCCTAACTCAATTTTGATAAAAAAAAAAGTGAGTTACTAGGTTTTGACTTTTGACGGGAGCATTATGCAAGGGCTACATATGCCTATTTCAAGTCTTTCTTTAGGCCCGAAATGTTATATAAACTATTAATTAGACATTTATTAACAAGACAAGACCATAATTAACTCTCGATGGCATCGGATACTCGATATTTTAACTAGATTAGAACGGTTCGCCATTTAAAAAAATTTAATTTAAAAATGGGAAAGCGAGGCTAAGTCTCGAATATACCAGTGCGCTTGTTACCACAATGCACACATCTTGTCAAAACTACAAACACTGATAACTTGGCTCAGGATGAAGTAATTTGAATGAAATTTTTAATATTTTCATTGTACATTATATATTCTAGAACTATTATAGCAAGAATGGTCAACTCTTTATCTAAATCTTACATAATGTATCTTTAAGTATAGAATGAATACAAACGTGTTTAATCAGTTCTTTCACATATGTGATAATGGCTGACACCAATTTTGTCCTTTAAGTTCTAAAATAGGAATGTGATATTTCATAATATTGCCTTCTAATTTGTTTTATTTCTGACTTATTATTATTATTATTATCAACCTGACAGTAGTGAAAGGTCAACGGCCGACTTTTAGCACAAGCTGACACGCGTGACAACTAACTTGCCACTTAACTTTTTGATACACGTATTAAACCACATGTTCTTGCCCTCATGGTAAATGCAGCTAGATGACCGGAAATTTTTTTACGACTTGAAAAAACGGAAAATAGTGTCAAATAAACATCTTTGATCAATAAATATAAAACGGTTGTCTACTTAAACCTGTCACAATGAATACCTCGTACGGATAAACTCTGTTATAAGTGTTACTAGGTGTTTCTGGTTCCACTGTCTGTCATTAGTTAATAGTATCTAATTAACGGTTTTATGTCAAGTTGGTGATTGGAAGAACTGGTTAACCGTGGCTGAAAGTGAACATATTGATCGAGTAACAGCTGAACGAATGAAAGACAGTCAAGTTCAATTAAAATACACGATTTAAAAAAAAAACGTGATTAGACATTACATTTTTGATATTGATTGGATTTACAAATAAACCCGGTGATTAGACATTACTTAAAGTAGCTAAGTCTCTAACTTCATATCATCCAAAATCTTCGACATTGAAAACACGAATTATTTATCAATTTAAACCAACATTGATGTTGTTGTCTTACGGGGAAAAGATGGGCCTCTGATATCCAATAATTAAGACAAAATAAACATTTTACCGTTGGTACACGAATCGTGTACCATGGTGCATTTCAGTGCCATTTTTAACAAGGGACTCGTAGAAAGAGGCTGGATATATTTCACAAGTCATGTCAAACGGTGACGACATATTCATATATGGAGAGCATGCGTAATAAATACTATCGGTATAGAGTGGAATAACCAGACGCTAGCGCTTGCCATTCGATTGAGACTTCTGGCGTATTTCGCCGAACATAACTGATTAGAAATTGCAGTAAAAACAGAAACGATTGAATGTAAATCAGTTTATATACATTCATATTACATTATTATATGCGCTGTGACCCATTTGTGTCAATTTCTAGATCCAAAATATTAGCGATTTAGCTCCTTTAAATGGTATTAGTAATGACGACAATATACGTCCACATGAAAATGTGGGCCTATAAAAAGGAAAATAGTGCCAAAGTTGAACCCAAAGTAAATGCCTCACACAGATGAACTCAGTTTCAAGTGGTACTAGGTGTTTCTGTTGAGGTATTTGTAGAGTTCAATACAAAAAGAGGATATAAAAAATATATAAAGTTGTTTTGTTCTTTTTTTGTATTTCACATTATGGATATTCTGAAGACATTTTTTTTTATGGAAACATGGTGTATTTTTATAACTCACCGTTTGTCAACCAGTTCATCCAAGGCTAATTTATCACGCGATATAATCTGATACTCTGGGGATACTCGATTGTCAGTCCGGAGTGCCCCGAAGTGACAGAATTGCAATTGAGTGGTGCGGAATGGAGTCCTGTCACAGTTCTGTCAGTCCCAACAACTGAGGTGATGTGAGTAGACACGTGACGTAATTAACACAATGAAAATGTTTCAGCTATCATGGTTAGTTGAGATATTTTCTTATACAGTCTGCGCATGAGTTGTAGCCTGAAATTCCCCTTTTCACTCAATTGTCACTATATTTGGGATTTAGGGAATTCTATTCCGGAACGACCAATCATTGGAACGAACACAGTGTGTAGGTCCAGATCTGTTGTTTAAGATAACAAAGAGAGAGAAATGGGGTTTAACGTCAACTTGAAACAAACTAGGTCATTTTGGGACTAACATGGTTCAATTTTATCTCATTAAACAATAATTCACTTGCTCGTTGTTGTCTTTAGCAGTGGGAGGAAATCGAAGAACCCGGAGAAAACCCACTAGGTTGGACAGGCGATCCTACTCCTTGTCACGTACAAGCGTGGAATCGAAACCACGCCACTGACAGACCTTGTGATGCAACGTGCACGCGTTAACCATTCGCCCCCTCCTCCCTAAAGATAACAGTGAACTGGAATTGTTGATATTTTATTATACGACCACATTTAAATATGGTCGTATATCCCCTCCCGAACTTTCGTCTGACACTGAAGTAACCATCCGGGATCACCTGTGGTATGTCCATTCGACAAACTGTAATTGGGTAGATTTAAATATGCTGTTCGTGACATTACCATGTAATTTATTAAATCATGAAATCGTCATTAAAAATGATATAAACGATATTAAATAAATATATAAAAAGCTTGAACATTAACTAGACAGAGACATTATATATGTATAATTAATACATAAATTGGCCTTGTGATATCTATGGGTATTAGAATGGACATAAAAACAGCGACAAGCAGCTATTAAACAACACATACATTCATATTCTTATTTAACAGATTTTACAAACTCACTAAATCCTAATTCGTTCTTACCACAGATGATTTCACGTTCGATACACCATATAAGATAATTCATCTTATTTAACCATGGACAATATTTGACCAAATAACCAAATTCATCTTTTTATCATGGACAATGAACACAATTCATATTTTTTAACCATGGACAATGATTTACCAAATAACCAAATTAATCTTTTTATCGTGGACAATATTTTACCAAATAACATAATTTATCTGTTACCATGAATAATATTTTACCAAATATTCTAATTTATTTGTTACCATGGACAATAATTTACCAAATAACCTAATTTATCTGTTACCAATGACAATAGTTTACCAATATCAAATAAATATCAGTGAAAATAATAGTTATAATTTCATTTAATAAATTGTTATAAATAATTTTAAGCTTAGAATGTTCATTCGCGAAAAAACCCTAATAATATCTTGTCACGAACTTTATTTTTCCAAACAAATATTGGTTGTTAAAGGACAATATTGGTGTCAGTCATTATCACTTTTCACTTCAGTCCGTTATATAGAATGGTAACTCGTGCTTTCCTTTTCTGTTCGTCACTTTCTTTTGTAGAAACCTTGATTACGCATCTATCGTAGCAATGATCTCTGTGTTACAATTATATTGGGAACCTGTTAAACCAGTTCCATCACATATGTGATAATGACTGACTGACTAATATTGCCCTTTAAGTTGGATGCATGGTGAAAACCTATAGCTAGTCATCAATAAAACGTGAAAATTAGAATCAAACCGAACTTGCCCAAGAATTATCGAACTTTCTTTTTTTGTTGTAAATTTCACGAATTCGAAATATTTAGAATGGGTTATATGAATATTTAGAACAATATTTAAATGAACGATATAAGGAATATTGTAAAAAAAAATACAACTAGAACTGCGGTGCAGTGATGACGGGGGTCACAGGAGTTACGTTACCCTTGAACTGACGTCACTTCCAGTACCAATGGATCCGTCAAACAGATTACCATACGAGCATTGCACGCGTGTTATATAGAAATATCTTTAAAAAACCATTACAATAATACGACTATGGCGGATGTGGATTTTCTTAACTACTTTAGATTCGTTTGTATTTTCTTGTACACTGGACACCATTTCCTGTCATTATCTGAAACATAAATAATTGTATTTATTTGAGATTATTTCGCTCAGAGAAATACATGGTTGAAGGTTGGGGTAATATCGCTCTCCCCAGGGCCATACACTTTGAGTTGATATATATATTTAGATGCATTACAAGACGTGGGTACCGAGATGGTGAAATTTAATTGTGGTCTGCCTCCAAACACTGACAAATATGTTTTGGTTGTCTCCCTTGTTGTGAGTTTGTATTACGTGAAATCTGTATCTTTGCAGGTCGAGTACTGTACAACGCAGTGACAGCTTACGGTCGATC